TCTTTATTGTAGAACCCATGTAAAATGGTCTTGATTGTAAAACCCGTCTTGTATGCATGATCTAGAACCCGAAAAATGGATTCTTGATTTAGTCTAATCAACAAGTTCAGAAGCGTGTTTTTGGGACAAACTATTACAAAAATTATGTTCAATAGCTCATTCGATTTAGAATAATGTCTAGATCAATGTGTGAAGAAAAATTTTGCAGTTCATAAAAAATTGCAAAAGTTATAAACAATTAAACACCTCAAAAACATGGTGTTTGGTTTTTCGCCTATAGTTTGTAAACTATAAATATTTTTGAATTTTTCAAAAAAGATCCTTAAAGAGGACGAAATTTGCTATAAATAGATTAGATTAGATTAGGAGTTGGACGTTATTTGTCCTTGTCCACCGCGACCTTTTCAGATCTATTGTGGGACGTTTGTTTTAGAGTATGTCGTCTAGCCTGGTCCTCAAAAAAGAGCATGATACCTACACCACGACACTAGAGGAAAGTCTGGAGATACTAACTCAGGTGCACTTTCCGGCCTCAACTATCCTAACAAGACTAGACTCAGGAGACCAAGAGAGCTACAGTCACAAGGGGATCAGACCAACTCCAATAGACTGGAAGCTGGCCTCCGAAATCACAAGACCACACAGGATTAGTTGGGCTATCAACAAATTTAAGGCATACAAATCCCCGGGGCCGGATGGAATATATCCAGTTCTGCTCCAGAAGGGAAAATATGTGTTAATGCCACATTTATGCAAAATCTTCAGAGCATGTATTGCCTGGAGATATATCCCAGCAATATGGCAAAAGGCGAAAGTAGTCTACCTTGCCAAAGTAGGTAGGGTCACAGACCAAACGCCAAAGTCATATCGCCCCATAAGCCTATCCTCCTTCCTACCTAAAACACTAGAAAGATTAATAGATAGTTATATCAGGGACGATATACTAAAAATAAATCCGCTCCATCCCAACCAATATGCATACCAGCCAGGAAAGTCAACTGACCTAGCGCTGGACGATCTAAACAGGCTGCTTTCAAAGTCAATAGATGACAAAGAAATCGCAATAGCCACTTCAAGGAGCTTTCAACAATGCCTCAACCAGGTCAATAACCAAGGCTCTAGAAGGGAGAAACGTCCCAGAAACAATATGCCAATGGATGACTGCCTGTCTAGAGAACAGGATTATTTTATCCACTCTAGGAAAGGCAACCATACAGGCAAAAGTTACACGGGGCTGCCCACAAGGAGGAATACTATCTCCAATGCTGTGGTCAGTTCTTGTGGACGACTTACTCAAAATATTGTCCAAAGAAGGCTACCAGTGCCTAGGATACGCAGACGACCTAGCCGCCACTGCATGTAACAATATTGTGCTATTAGGGATAGTATACACAGATTAATAATCGTCAGGGGGCGATTTGCAGGTACAGTTTCGGAGCGATCTCAAACAGCTCTAAACCTAGTGAACAACTGGTGCAAAAAGGAACAATTGTCCATCAACGCACAAAAATCAACAGTTGTACCATTCACAAAAAAACGGGTACTCACAGGTCTAAGACCACTAGTACTAAACATCACAGTTAGCCCATTCGTCACAGAAGCCAAATACCTCGGAGTCAAAAAAACTCACACATAAAGCTACAATAGCTCTCGTAAGCTGTAGAAGAATATGTGGGAAAAACTGGGGTCTAAACCCCAAAATGACCATATGGTTATACACAAGGGTAATAAGACCCATGATAACCTATGGCGCAGTGGCGTGGGTAACCAAAACTGCGCAGGCAAGTGCAATAGGCCAACTCACTAGCATTCAGCGGCTTGTCTGTCTAAGTGCTACTGGGGCCATGCGCACAACGCCGACCGCAGCAATGGAGGTATTACTAAATCTCACGCCATTGCACATCTTCATACAAGGAGAAACCAGGTCAACTATTCACAGGCTAATGCAGGGACAAAACCCAATAAGCCAACTACATAGCGCCGACCACACAAGTCTATATCAGCAAGTAAAAAGGGATAATATTCTAGCTATGCCTACTGATAGAGCCATAACCACATACAAATTTATAAGAAATTTTCAAATTCAAATACCAGCCCGAGAATCCTAGAAATACGGACCTCCCATACAGGCTGAACTCGTCTGGTAGACAGACGGTTCAAAAGCCAAGGAAGGAGCCGGTGCTGGAATCTATGGACCTAAGTCGAAATCAACGATTTCACTAAGCTTAGGAAAATATGCAACAGTGTTCCAGGCTAAGCTAATAGCCATACAACACTGTGCAAGAGAAATATTAAATCAGCAAGTATCAGGCAAAACTATTGCCATATACTCTGATAGCCAAGCAGCTCTAAAGGCAATTCTCTCACCAGAAATCAAATCACGACTGGTGAAAGACTGTCTAGAAGACCTGACAGAGCTAAGTAGTCAAAATAAGGTAACCTTAGCCTGGGTTCCAGGCCATGAGGGATATCAGGGCAACGAAAAGGCCGACGAATTAGCTCGAGAAGGCTCAGATAAGGCCATGACAGGCCCTGAACCCTTCTGTGGAGTTGCTAAGGTATTGTGCAAGGCATCCATTAAACAATCGATGCAAAAAGAGTCTCAGGAATGGTGGAACAACTATCCAAGACTGAGACAGGCCAAACAGTTCATCAAGGAACCATCGGCCAAGTTTACGAAAGACCTACTGGATCAAAAACGTCAAATCGTTAGGATAATAGTAGGCCTTCTTACTGGACACTGTCGCCTCAAAAGGCACATGAGTGTCATAAATCCAGCAGAAGAAGCAACTTTGTGCAGGTTCTGTGAAGAAGAAGAAGAGTAAACATCATTCCACTTCCTGTGCCAATGTGAAGGCTTGGCTGGAATGAGGTTTCTAACATTGGGCGAAGAAAAGCCAATTGCATGCAACTACATGCGGGAGCCACTGTCAAAGCCACTAAGTCTAATAAAAAAGACCAGGCTAGACGACATACTCTAAAACAAACGTCCCACAATAGATATGAAAATGTCGCGGTGGACAAGGACAAATAACGTCCAACTCCTAATCTAATCTAATCTATTTATAGCAAATTTCCACCTCTTTGAGGATCTTTTTTGAAAAATCCAAAAATATTTATAGTTTACAAACTATAGGCGAAAAACCAAACACCATGATTTTGAGGTGTTTAACTGTTTATAACTTTTGCAATTTTTTATGCACTGCAAAATTTTTCTTCACACATTGATCTAGACATTATCCTGAATCGAATGAGCTATTAAACATAATTTTCGTAATAGTATGTCCCAAAAACACGCTTCTGAACTTGTTGATTAGACTGTGGACCCCGCTGACGTGATCTTGATTGTAGAATCCGTCTTATATTTCTACTTTTAAAAGTTATCTCCAATTGTGCTTATATAAATATCTTTAAATTAAAAAACTTCACTTAAATATTGATACAATTTTTTTTTGATTTAATTTTTATTTCATATATCAGGTAAGTATTTCCCGAAGAAATTAGGAACATTGCCAAGAGACATGAGGCGAGGCTCCACAAACACAATAACATTACAATTCTCCAACTTTTAGACAATCAGAACCTAGTGCGCAGACTCAAAAGAGTCGAACCTTTTGAGCTTGTGTAAGTGAAGTGATCGTGATAAAGCAGAGTTAGTGCTATGAGCCACAATATCGAAGTGTGCAGAAAATGTTAATAACTAGTATTGAACACAGATGATATCTAGTTTTTAAATTTTGTAATAATTTAGGTTATTTTAAAAATGTTGATTAATCTTGTAAGATTAGGTGCATTCGGACATATTAACAAAAAAAGTAAGTGTTCATTAAATTATAACTATTAAATTTTTTTTTTAAATCAAATCAAATTTATTTGTTTAAATATTAAAAAACATTACCTAATAGTAAAAAAAATAGTTATTAAAAAAAAAGTTCTTCAAAGACATCTGATTGAGCATCGAACCTAGGCATTTTTGCCTGTTTTGCTTCTGATCAATCAGATGACTCTATTTGTGTACATATTTTTTTTAAAGACAGGTATTAAATTTTACATATTATTATAATTATTTATCACTTAACAAAAGATACACTATTTAAAAATAAGAACAAGGGACGAAGAAATTCGACAAAATAAACCGATAAATAAAAAGATAAATAAAAAATAGACAGTACCTTAGGAAAAGTATACATGAACGACGAAAAATAGGTAAATAATACATATTGAGTTTTTAATTTTTTAATCCACCGGTTCCACTTCAAAATCAGGCGCTCCACTGAATCCATCCACATCGTCGACAATGTCCGTGCCGGTTATATTTTCATTAAACTTCTTGCAATCGTTCGGAATCAAGTGCATTATGGATTTGATGTGTTCTACTTTTGGATATGATACTTTTTTCCTTTGAGCCACATTGGTATTAGCAAATCTTTAAATAATGCTGGACGACCTATCTGTTTTTTTCTGATATCTACTTCAACATGAGATTCGTCTTCAAAATTTGTTTTCAGAAAAATTGAAAACGGTTTTTCTTTATCAAGAAGTATCTCACGTGTTTGTATCCAGCTAACTTTTTTTGTTCTCAACATCCACTTTTCTATTTATTATTTGTTTTTCTAGGACAGCAGTCCCATAGAACTCAGTAGAGGGCATTCTTGAAACTTCAAATTTGTTTTTGTTCGACAGTCTTTCATGATTTTTATATAATCATCTGGCATGTAAAGGCGCTGTTGGTGTTTTAGTGCACATTCGACGTCGGAAAAATCTAAATCGTTTGGGAGAAAACTATTCCCAGATACAAGAAGACGCATTCGAATTATTTTTAAAGACGTATGTGACTGCAACACAGCTTTAAGCATGAGTGTCATCTTAATGTTGCGATTCTGACCGCCACACGAATTCGACCATAAGATTAACTCGGTTATATTAAAAAGGTTCTCTTTAATATATTTTAATGAACATGATCCAATTTCTTGGGCTCCGCGACCTGCCTTGTTTTTCGTTCACACATAAAAATAACCCTTGTTGGTTGAACCAGAATGAACGGCTAAATTGTAGAGCCAAATTTGTCTCTTGTAAAACAATATTCCAGTAGCTAATCGTGGTAGTGGCAATGTTTTTTCAAGATCGAATGTTAAACATTCTATTTCGTTACTTTCCTTAGCCTTTTTCATATCATTTTTCATCTGATTTCTGGCATCCTGCCAACTCTTAATATGGTTATCGTGTTCTTCTTTGATTTTTTCTTTTTCGTTGGGTGTTAGGGCATTCTGTAATTTGCTATGATAGCTATCACATGTATTGCAGGTATCCATCTTAACGTTTTAAATTTTACATTAAACTCGGTTAAAAAAATACGTCTGTAAGTTTGAAAACTAACTGGTTTTTCTGTTTCTTCTTTATATTTTCTGTACATCAAAGACCAAGTGATTTCTGGGGGTAAAAATTCAGCATTAGAGCACTGAGCTCTACGATAATGACTTTTGTATTTAGGTATTTTGTTTATTTGGTTGATGACTTCTTGCTCTCTTGCATCTATCTTATTTTTTCCTCCTTGTAATTTTCCTCGCTTATCTGTTATACTCTCAGACCTTAGCTTCGTTAATGCTGAATTAACCCTTTTTGTAGAGATTCGTAGAGTTCTGATGAAAGTTTCATGACATATTGTGACCCCATCTAATTGATAAATTCTGAAATATTTTTTTGGCTTTTGCGCTAATACATAATTCCTTTTCTTGTCATATTCTTTTACTAAGGCGCCTATATATGCTGTCTGAGCGTTGTAGCTACCCAGCTCCCAGAATTTTTTAAAACATTTTTGCTGTTGCGTCAAATTTAATGTCGTATTGCATTTTTTGGAACACGAACACTGAAAGGCTTCATCCAATTTCTTTTCTTCTACAGTCTTTCTCTTATATTCATAATGAGTTTTGATTGCATTCTTAGCTTGTTTGTTTTCTGCTCTTGTCATATTCGGAGATATCCTTTTTTTCCCTCTTTTTGGTCTTAAAGATTTTACAGCTTCGCGGCCGACATTATTATTGTTTTCGTTTTTCTCTAGATGATCACTGTCTTCTTGCTCTAATGAAGAGTCACTGCTTTCTGCTTCGGTTACAACAAACTCCGGATCTTTATCAGAATCATATCCATCATTAAATAATATTTCTGCTGCATTAATGTTATAGGAATTTTCAATAGGTATTTTCTGTATTTTCAGCCTCCTCCAAGGCCTAAAAAATATATCAGTAGATAATAACACTGCATATTACGGCAAAATCTAAAAATCCAAGTTACCTTACTACAGCTGGGCGTTGTTTTTAACATCGTTAAGCTTTTTTTAAAACATCAAAATAAATGCAAGTTACTGTTTTTAATTTTGCAGAAAAGAACCAACCCCCCACTTTGGTTGCTTTAAAATAGTTTAAACAGTGTCTACTTATCATTAAATATTACAAATATTTTTTTGATCTCTCAAATCCTTTGCAATATTTTACTTGGCACCTATATTACCTATTTTATTTCTTAAATAAAAAAATAGAAACTTAACCTAAAACATATTTAAATGTACTATTTATCTGACTAAACCTTGGACTTTCCTTTTCCTGTGCAACATCTTTTGCCATCAGAAGAATTCTTTGAGATCTGCTGATGTTAATATTCATATTGGATTACAAAAATATTCATTTATTAGTTTTCTTATTTTTAATACACACTCACTATCCCAAAGAACTAAATAACGAACCATGGAAGAAGTAACGAACTGTCAACAACTCTCTTCTCTATTATGCAGAAAGGAACCAAGCCGCTTGGATCGCCTCTGCAGGCAGAATACTTGCCTAAATCACTTAGTGGGTTGGTTCATTAGCTAACAGATGGCGCTAGGTACCATAATGTGTCTTGGATCTTTTTTACAGTAAAGGTTACGGCTGTGAAGAACTAAAAATTACATGATTTGTGGGTTACGCTATTTATTTGAAGATAAAATTCATTAAAGATATTTTTGGGCATTATTTCATTCAGAAATTTGCAACAAATTTTGCATCGGATCTTTGATTACTTTACAAATTAATTAAGCTAATATAATAATCTTATTAAACTAGACGAAAAGGGCATATTACAGAAATTATAAATTACTTCGAATTTCACAAAGGAGCGGGAGGTAATTAAAACATGCTTTTGATAATTCGAGAAGAGATCAGGGGTGAGCAGTCACAATATGAACAAAAATACGTCCCCCTTTATAAGATTTTTGACTTATCTTTATATTTTTTCATAAACCCTCATCTTTAAATTTATTTGAGGTGGATATTTTTCATTGAAATTTCCTTTATTTTTGTACGCCGCTGAATATTAAAGATTCCAAACTATTTAAATACGTAGAAGTGGTACTGATACATATATGATTACTTAAAAAACCCCGAAATACTTCACGCTTCTCAATAGGCAATATGATTGGTTTAATAACAATCGTTTTCTGTGCGGTACCACTTTTGTTGATAATTTTAATTATAGTCCTTCATAAAAATTTCGTTAAACGGCAATCAAAATATCTGAAAAATGTACCAGGACCTAAACCTAATCCGCTTTTTGGGAACATGTTAGATTTTGCTGTGCCTACGCATCGTTAGTAAATACTAGTTTGTTATGTCCCTTTGAAAACAATGTTTATATAATGTTTTTGATAACAGAAAGTGGTATTTTTTTGTGCGACTGCACCGAAAAACCCAATAATTACTCTAAGAAATAATAAATATGTCTTATTAATTATTTTTTTTTTTAATAGTTATTTTTTGACATTATTTGTCAACATATTTATGATTTCAATACCTACTGTTTAGTCCAATCAAATAGACCTTTAAATCAAAATTTTGGAGGAAATACAGGAATGTTTGATATAATAACTGATTCTGATGGCTCATCAACCAATATTTATATACAAACTTAAAAAATTGGCGAACATTCTAGTAAGTTCACATATTCTCTCCAATACACTAGAAACATTATCTCGTTCTTTCTTGAACATCATCGAAATCACCTCCGCCATAGTCGTCCCATAGGTTTGGTCTTAAGGGGTTTAATTATGTATAATAATCGGACAAGTTGAGCCTCAAAGGCGAAATAAAACAGAGAGGGACTTGTAGGGTTAGAGCATGACTGAATAATGAAATGGCTCACATAACATTGCCCCCTCCTTAAGAGATAGTTCCTCCTGGAACTCTTACGAAACTAAACTGGAATGGTTGTATTTGCAACTGAATCCTCTTTTACAATTTCCAGTTGCATAGAAGTAACAAGGGACTGTCTTCGCTGTAACCTGGGCACTGGGCGAATGGCTGCAGAACAGTATCTGAACTCCGGTATCTTGAAAGATTACTTCCACCATGTTCCTAATGATCCTCCAATCCAGCTGATTTCCTTCTGTCTTCGGGATTGCTAGTTTCTGTACATTGGACTCCAGTACATGCTCCCTCAGACTAAGAAATGCTTCCCATACATCCTGATAGGTGGATCGATCTTGGAAGGTGTTCTTCGTTATTAAATAAAAAAGATACCGTGACCCGTTTTGAAGTTTCAAGGCTTTTCCAGGGACTGGTAACTGATATTGAATTTCTACCAGTCGACCAAACTTCTTACGGAACACATATGCCATTCCTCGCGCGTCGTTGATGCTGGCGGAAGTACTATGGACCAGCGAGTAGTCTTTCGGAAGCGAGAGCAGATCTTGTTGTTGCTCGGTCGTAACACCATATATGGCTTTTCCAGTACCTCCATATGCACCCATAAATTCAAGACAAGGTCTGGTGTTTCTTGAAGTTGGTTTACTTCTTCTTCATGGTCACCCTCAAATGGCGCCAGCCTGTTTTGGTGCACTACCTTTGGTTTACCGTTTGGGATCTTACTTATACGGTAAATTACATCATTTATTTTATTCTTGATTAGGTACGGACCTTTTCAAGACCTTTGAAGCTTCGGAGAATAACCCTTTTGTCTTTTTGGGTTATGGAGCCAGACTTTGTCGCCTTCTTTGAAACATCCCTCCGTAGCTTGAGTATCGTACCGTTTCTGCATCCTGTCGCTGGCGATTTGGAGATGCGATCGAACTAATTCATGCATGTTGTCCATTCTTCTTCGTAACTGGATCACATAATCTTCACCAGCTATATCTTCTCCAGGTCGGCATCCAAACTCGAGGTCGCACGGTAGTCTCATCTCACGACCAAACAAGACCTTTGTTGGTGTTTTGCCTGTTGATTCATTGACAGCGGATCTATAAGCCATTGCAAAGAGCGAAAGATACTGATCCCAATCTCGCTGATGGTTTGAAACCACTTTTGACAGATATTTGCCAATAGTCTTATTCATTCGCTCTACCATTCCATCGGATTGTGGGTGCAATGCTGTGGTTCTGGTTTTCTTCATGCCCAGTCTGTCACAGATTCCACGGAAAAGATGACTTTCAAAATTTCTGCCTTGGTCACTGTGGATCTCCAAGGGCACTCCAAATCGACAGATAAACTCTTTTATCAATACATCTGCAAACAGTTGCGGTTTCTTGATTTGGAATGGCGTAGACTTCTACCCACTTTGTAAAATAGTCCATAACCACCAAAATGTATTTATTACCATCCTCGGTCGCGGGGAATGGTCCAGCAATATCTAAGGCGATCCTCTCAAATGGGCTACCAACGTTATATTGCTTCATGGGAACCTTTCTTTTTCGTTGAGGTCCATTACTCATAGCACAGGTGGTACATTTCTTATACCAGTGATAAAAATCCAATCTGTAACTGAGATTAAATACTTAGGGGTATATATAGATTCAAATTTAAAATGGGACAGTCACGTAAATGTTGTGATAAAAAAACTGCAAATGATCTTGTATAAATTTAGACAACTAAAAAAATGTTTACCAGAAACCCAATTAAAAAAATTATATTTTGCCCTGGTCGAAAGCCACATAAGGTATGCAATTCCGGTTTGGGGAGGGGCTTTAAGGGTGCATCTAAATCCTTTAGTAACACTGCAAAAAAGATTTTTAAAGTTAATTACGGGAAAAAATTTTAGATATGCTTCAGACAGTTTATATTCTGAAACTAAAGTACTAGACCTAAGACAACTATTTTATTTTCAAACAAACATCAAATATCATTTTAGTAATAAGAAAGCCTCTAGTCATAAACACAGCTATAATACGCGTAATAATAAAAAACTTACTTATCCAGTAATACTAAAAAAGTCAATTTCACAACGAGCTTACTCTTCTGTAAAATTTTATAATTCTATTCCTGAACCATTAAAAAAAAAAACAATACAACCATGTTTAAAAAAAAACTAAAATTATTTATTTTAGAAAGGCCAAAATTATTTACACTAGATATTTTAGAAGAAACTAAATAATACCAATACAATCATAAAATAATAATAGTAAAATAATAAACAAAATATAATAATTCAAATAAAAAAAAAACAATAAAATCAATACTTACTTTATTTTGGAATAGTTGGCACTTCTTGGGGTTTATCATCAGTTGGACAGCTTGAAGTCTTTTAAAAACATCTTTCAAGTTCTTTAGATGTTCATCAAATGTTTTCCCCAAGACTATAATGTCATCTAAATATACCAGGCACGTTTTCCATGATAACCCTCTCAATACATTTTCCATAAGTCTTTCAAATGTCGCGGGGGCATTACATAGTCCAAATGGCATGACATTGAATTGCCACAATCCAGATCCGGTGGTAAAAGCTGTCTTTTCTTTGTCTACTGGGTCCATTTCGGCCTACCAATATCCAGACTTTAGGTCTAAGGTAGAAAATAATTTACTTCCGGCCAATGTGTCCAAGATATCTTCGATTCGAGGAAGAGGATAACTGTCTTTCTTGGTAACATTGTTCAACTGACGGTAATCCACACAGAACCTGGTAGTTCCATCCTTTTTCTGGACCAAGACTACCGGAGAGACCCATGGGCTGGTAGAAGGTTCTATCACCCTGTCTTCCTTCATTTCTTGAACAATCCTTTCAGCTTCCTCTCTCTTGGCTTTTGGTAACCTTCTAGCTGATTGACGAATCGGCCTGGCGTCACCAGTGTCAATTTTGTGTTTTACAACAGAAGTTCTTCCTGTTTTTCCTCCTTTTGGTACAAAAATGTCACGATATCGTCGAAGAAATTCCTTTATTTTCTTCTTCTCTAATTGATTGAGAGATTGACCAGCAACGGCAATCATTT